AACGACGGTGGCAAGAAAGGTTGTAAAGCGGGGCAAAGCTCTTGACCACAACATAATGTCCTTAAGAGCTTTGCTCTGAGCACATTTTGGGATCGATTGGGGTCGTAAATCAAGGACTACCAGCCATGGATTAAATGCCTGAAGACCCCTCCTTCTCCCTCCGCCCCCCCCCCCCCCAGGACCCCTCCTTCCTGGAGAAGAAGGAGCGCTGTGACTATCTCAGGAGGAAGCTCTCCCACCTCAAGGCCCAGATCCAGGCCTTTGACAAGACGGAGCAGAGTGAGGCGTCCGTGGCCCTTTGACAAGGGGCCCGAAGGCCAGCCTGGCTGTGGAGCATGGGCTTCGGACACCGGATGGCAGACCCAGCAGCCCTCCAGGGAAGCCCCTCAGGATGGGAAGGGGGGGAGGAAGAGGGCGAGGAAGAGGAGGAGAACCAGCAGCCGGGGGGGGAGGGGGGGTATCTGTACTTCTTTATGGGACTGAGACCCCCCTGGTGGGGTGGGATCAAGCTGTTTGTGGGCTGCTTCGTCCGTCTGTCCTGGGGCTCCTTTCCCAGGTTGAAAGTGGCCCTTTGGGGGACTTCCATGCCTTCACCCCCCCCCCCAATGTGCTTGTTCTACCCCCAACAGAAAAAGGGGGGCAGATGGGGGCTCTTCCCCTGAGCCTCTCGGGGCAGAGAACCGGCCCAGATTCCACCCTGTGCAGAGCCTGGCAACAGTTTTTGAGAATAAATTGTGGGTTGAAGAGACAAAATGACTTTCTGGGCGATTTCATCTTTGCTCAAAGGGCCCCCAGAAGAGAGATGGGATTGGTGGGGCAGGGGGGGGGGCTGAGGGGGGGTCTAGGCAGAGTGTGTGTGGGGGGGCGTTGAGGCCCTCTGGGATTCTGCAGGGGACTCCCAGGGCCCCCCAATGGGGTCCCTCTTTGAGATGAAAGCCTAGGGGGGAGAAAGTGAAGTGGGGGGGGCAGGAGGCCAGCCTAGGGGGCCAAAGGGGCTTCAGGGGAGATGGAGCAGAGGGTCTTCGTGGGGGGGGGGCTCTGCTCTGGCCCCACTTTTTATTGCCCCCCCCTTCTGAGAGCCGGCCTGAGGCAGAGCCCGGAGGGAGGATATCGACCCTTGTCAGCTAAGGGNCCTTTCTCTCTCTCTCTCTCTCTTTCTCTGCCATGGGCCATCGGGAAGAAAGGGTCTTTTGTTGATCTAATTGGAGTGAGGTCGGATCCCCTGAAGGGAACCTGATCCCAAGATCCCAAGGAAACGCCCCAGCCTCCCAGAAGGAGAAAGGCCCCTGGGAGAGGGGAGGGGGGTCTCCAGAAGCTCTTTGGGGTTGGGGGGGGCCTGCAGGGAGGGAGGGCCCGATCCTGGTGGGGTGATCTGTATCTGCATCCTCTTTCCCCAGCCTTAAAAGCTGCCTCTCAACCACAGAGGCTGCAGGTGAGGAGGACTCTGCCCACAGCCCCACAACCACACCTGGGAGCGCAGGGCAGCCTCCTCCTCCTCCTCTTCCTCCTCATTCTTTCTGCTGCTCCCCCCCGTGGCCAAGGCATCAGGATTTGAACTGAAGGCTGTGCAGAGACCCACACAAAGACTAGCCAGGTTCACCCAAGGCCTTTCGGTGGCTGGATTCAGGGACCCCCTGGGTTCTCCCCCCACAGATGGAAGATGAGCTCTGGGGCTGGGATAAAACTTTTGGCCGGAGCTTCTGAAGGGGCCTCAGCCCATCCTGCCCCATGGGACTCAGAAGGGTGGGAGGAGGCCTGTCCTCCTCCTCCTCTTCCTCCCCTTTCAGGACATGGATCCATGGGTCCCTGCAAAGGGGCTGTTGCAATGGAGACCGCTTGGGCAGTGCCCCATGGGCGTCTTGGTCCTGAAGTGAAATCGGGGGCTCCTGGGTGGCTCTTGCCCTCGGCCACTCTGGGCCTGGCGCTTTCCTCCCGGGCAGCCGCCTGTTAATCATTAACCTCCGCGAAGCCCCATGATAAGATGCCCGCTGGGAGCCCAAATCTTTTGCTGCGCCGAAGCTGCCAGAGCTCGGAGCCTCCCCCCCCCACACCCGCCAAAGGGAGGAGGAAATTGCAGGCTTCCTCCCTGGCCTTTGAAGGGGCCCTGATCTCACCACCCTCTTCCTCTTCCTCCCTCTCTGGAGTGGGGACTGCAAGCAGGCGGAAGGTATGGGGGCCACCTGGGGGGGGAGGTAGGCTCCAAACATGGGGCCCTCCAGCTGTGGGGGGATGAAAGTCAACATCTGGAGGTGGACTGAGAAGGGGCAGGCAGAGGGGGTCTCGCTGGGAAGGTTTCCCTCCTCTTCCTCCTTTTTGTCTTCCTCGCCTTCCTCCTCATTCTCCCCTCCTCTTCCTCCTTGTTTTCCTCCTCTTCCTCCTCCTCCTCCTCTCTGTCTTCCTCCTTGGAGGGCTTCCGCTGTGCAGTGGGGTCTGGCAGAGGGGTGAAAGCTCAGGGGAGGAGGCCTCACAGCAGGTGGGCAAAGCCAGCGGTGGGGGGGGGATTCTTCCCCTGAGGAGTGGTCTCCAACAGAGGGCACTGGACCCCACCCTGGACAGGCTGGGCGGCCAGGAGAGGAGGAAGCCCTTGAATGCCCCCCCCCCGTTTCCGCCCTGCCTCTTCCTGGAGCTCCTTCCGTATCCTTTCTCAGCACTCCCCCCCCACCCCCCACCCCGAGCAAACGAAGGGACTCCGGGCAGCCAGCAGAGAGTCGGCCTTCGCCTGATGCCCATCGGGAGATGCCAGGGGCAGAGCTGGGGGAGGGGCGGGAGTGCTCCCTGCCACCTTATCATGGGCACGATTGGCACTGCCAGCTGCCCTTCCCTCTCTGGGCCTTCGGACAGGGCTGAGTCTGGGGAGCAGAGGGAGGCGCCCCACGGTCACACCAGAAAGGGGCCCCTGGGGGTCCAGTGCTGCCTGCCCGTGGCCCCCTCCCCCCAGTGGCATGGGGGGGGAGAGACAGGCTGGCAAGGGCATCTATACTGGCTCTTGCCTTGGTTCCCCTCCTCTGCCCCGAGGAGGTGGGAGGGAGGGTGGGGGTCCCTCTTTGCGGGGGGAGATTCTCCCCTTTCCAACCAATGGGGGCCTGGAGGCTGTAACCATCATATGATTGAGCATCCTCATCGTTCCATCATTTAGCTCTAAACCCACCTAGTAAAAGGCACCTTTAAAAACACACATTAAAAGTCAACCTGGGAAGCTTTTAGCCCCAAAGGCTAATTCCTCTTTCTTTTTTCTTCCTTGGATGCGGCTGAAGAGGAGATCTCCCTGCTGGCGTCCCCCGTTCTCCTTCCGGACCTTTTCCAAATCAGCTGCTCCTTCCCTGAAGACAAGACTCCGCCAGGCCCTGGGGGAGGAGGGGAGGGGGGGAGAGAGAGACCCCTCCCCGCCAGATGCCTCCTGGGATCAGATGCTGCTGTGTGGACCCACCATGGAGAAGCCCCTTCCAGCTGGGGCAGAGAGGCAGCCTCTGGTGGGCCTGGGGGCAGACCCCTGCCTTCCCTCCAGCCCTCTCCCTCCGGGGGCACCAAGGATGCCGAGCTCTGTCTGGAGCTCTCGGTCCCACTCTCCAGCCGCTTCCCCCCCTGGTCCCCCCCACCGGCCAGCCTTCCCTGGTGGACCTCGGGGCCCAGAGGTTCCCCCTCTGGAGCCCACCCAACGCCCCTTTCTTCTGTCCTGGAAGAAGGCTTTTGGGAGGGCCCCCCGAGAAGACCCCCCTCCCTTGGCCCCCTCCTCAGCCTTCCCAAACTCCCCACCCGGGAACCCAGGTCTGGAGGGTCCCGAGAGACCCTGCTTGGCTGGGGAAGATGGTTCCACCGGCAGCGAGAGGAAGGATGGGGAGGATGGTGAGGAAGCCCCCTCAGATGCCACCACCTCTTCCACGTCTGGGAAGCCCACGGGAGCCACGAGCCACGGAGGGGCCTCCCCGGCTGCCCCGGGCTACGAGGAGAGGCTGGAGGCCTACAACCGCAAGTACAGCTACCTGAAGTCCTGGCCCGGCCTCCTGAGGCTCCTCGGGGGGCTGGAGCTCATCCTGGGGGGAATGGCCTTTGCCTGCACCGCGGCCTACATCCAAAAGGACTACCAGTGGTCCCAACTTTACGGCAACAGCTTCTCCGGAACGGACTACGGCTCCTACGTGCCCATGACCCCCTTTGTGCTGGTGGTGGCCAGCCTGGTCTGGCTGCTGACGGTCATCCTGCTGGCCCTGGGGGTGACCATGCACTACCGGGCCATCCTGCTGAACTCCCACTGGTGGCCCCTGGCCGAGTTCTCCCTCAACCTCTCCATGTTCCTGCTCTACCTGGCGGCCGCCATCGCCTACGTCCAGGACGTCAACCGGGGTGGGCTCTGCTACTCGGCCTTTGCCTACGGCCCCCTCCTCACGGCTCTGTGCCGGGTCGAAGGGGGGCAGGTGGCCGCCCTGACCTTCCTCTTCCTCGCCCCCTTCCTGTACCTGACGGGCTCCCTCGTCTGTCTCAAGATGTGGCGGCACGAAGCGGCCCGTAGGACGCTGATCCCGGTAAGACCCCCCACGGGTGGGGGGGGTGTCTGTGAAAGGGTTGCTGGAGGGCATGGATGGGGCTGGGAGACCCTCTGCCTCAGGGGCCCCTCTCGCAATTCTGGCGGTCAGCATCTTCAGGAAGGTGGAGGAGACCAAAGTGGGCAGCAGCCCCCTCCCCCTCCCCCAGGACAGAGACTGGGCACTTAGGGGGAGGCTGGCACATTGCGAGGGTCAGAAGGGGGGCTGAGGAGACGCCTGCAGGCCCCCCACATCCTGGACATCAACTGTTTCAACTCTTCCCCTCGGGATTATTCCTCTGTTTCTCCTCCTCCTCTTCTCCTCCTCCTCCCCTCCTCCTTTTCCTTCCCTCCTCCTCCTCCTCCCCTCCTCCTTTTCCTCCTCCTCCTCCTCCCCTCCTC